TTTTCATTCATATCACGGTTGAAATGCTGTGATGAAATATATATGGGTTCATGCAATCACTCGCAACAATGGGTCAACTCCAATCAGCACTAAATTAGTTCAAAATTAACTTAGTTCACACAGAATCTTGTTCCAGAATCATTATTCTCATTATTAAGATTGGAAGCTGAACTTGCTAAATTCCTTCAGATCATCTGATCAATAGCCTGCGAAATTACACTAAGAACTCACGCGACCGATTTCCGGTTAAAATTTCATACTCGGAATTAAAGACTGCGTATTTGCACAATGACAGCTAGTAGCTGCGTTCACACGAGATTCACGGCCTCGCTGGTTCCTACACTCTGGTGCTAATTTCGGCTGAAATACCGTGCTAACATAAAACCGGACGTTCACACGAGAATTACGAGGGGCTTAGCTGGCTAGCTATAATATAGACTGCCGTATCCGCGTCGACAGTTCCACACGCTACCACTAAACATTCGTGCTAGACGAACGGGGACCAGTCTTAGCGTTAAGTGCACTACAGTAGAGGTCTCGAATTGCGTTCACACCACAGACAATACGCGCCGCCAGCAGCGTTTGATTTTTTCCCTAGTTAATCAAGAACATAGTGACTCTAGTGAGCGACTCTACTATAGGGTTTCTAATTGGTTTCGTCGCTCAATGACGTCGCAGTGTCGTCATATTCATAGCACATCCACAAAATCTTTATTGCAATAACATTAGTAAGCGACGCGATACAGCACGAAAGTCAAGCTTGTAAGGTGCGTGATCGAATCCCGTCGTTTTTTTAGTTAATTCTTCCTGTTTCCTAGTATTTTACTATACTGTATCGTTTAAGCAATTTTTTTCCATATGTAACGCAAATATTTCATATTTATTTACACAACAATTAATAACAATTAAAATTTATTATTTGTTTATATCTTTTTTAAATAGGCGTATAGGGGTTAGGCTTAGGGTCCACAAGCACCATAAAACAGGAGTATAAGGCAGTGATTTGGTATCAACCAATGGCACCGCGCCTATTGTTCATTCATTATAACCTCAGGAAAAAAATCACGCACGCGGTCCAACGTGCTGCCGGAATGTTTCAGCGCGGCAATTATATGATTCCGCGCGAATAAGCCGCGTATAATTAAGTCTTGAATATTTTTAGCGTGTGAACGCTCAGTACGGAACTGAAATCCTCGTGCGAACGCAGCTAGTGATACACTGAGTTGCGACACACACGTCACATTACATGAGTTACATATTCATAAATGTTTTGTTGAACTTTGGCGCCTATGAAAAATGCACACATATTACATTTTAAATAATTTACTCACAACCAAATGGCACACGAACCTATTCTTAGTGACTAAGTCGCTGTAAATAATACTATAATTTTTGACAAACTATGAAAGTAAAGATATATACGATTTTGTTCACACTTCAGGTTAAATTAAATTGTAGCCATTATTTTCTAATTTCCTTCCAATTTCCTCAAATAACGGGTTTCCCGTATGCAATGTAACATGGTGAGTAATTTTGGTGCATAAAATAATTGAAATTCTCCAAAAGGATTTGCATTTTGACCAAGCCTGAAAACAATCTCATCGACAAAGAGTTTGGTTGTGTATTCACTCCCATAATATTATGTTATCGGTTTCCATGTATATTCCTTCTTTCTTCCTAGAAAAATCCCGTGCTTCATTCACGGCACCCTAGCTGTGATCCATCCGAATTTTGTCTGGACACCTAACATTAGCAGATATTGACTTTCATTATGAACTTTTGTAATGATGCATTGTAAAACGGCAATAACGTCTCAGATAGGCTAACGCTATTCATAAATCATAATGCCTGAATTGATCGCGCAAACGCGCTACACACATACATACGCAATATACATATTGATACAGTGATTATAAATACATGGTGGCTTGTAACATGAACCATGAACATTAGTGTGTGATGGCTGACTGTGAACGGACTGTGACACACTGTCAATACGAGCCGGTACATTTGACAAACAAGCGTTAATCGCTTTCAACTGAAAACCAACGCTATTTTAATTTGCCTTTCACTTCCGCCATGGAGGAGATCGAACGCTTAAAAAAGCACAGATAAAAGCATCTTAAGCTTTACTTTGGGACATTCGACCACGGCATGGTATGGATTTGGCTACGACACCACTGAATGCCGATGCACCCCGTATGGGGAAGCCATGCTGCAATGCATGACGCTCCAGGGGAAAATCCTGCTCATAGCCTAGGACATCACAGTGAGAACAACAACACGACATATCAGCAAGACAAATCGTGACCTGTGGGTGAGCCCTTAGATAGGTGACCGTGCGAAGCTAAACCACAGATCAGAATAGCAGGAGAAAGTCCAGACACTAACCCCGGATACAGCTCATTGCTAACCCAGTCAAACGCCGCTACTACAACTGACGTCCCTAAGTGATGTGGACAGAGAGACGAGGAGGACTGTTGCGATACATCATCATTACTGCAATTGCTTTCTGGCGTCTGCCGATAAATCCAAGTGAAGCATCGCTGCGAAGCGCTTTCCCGACAACTGACAATAAAAACACTAGAAAATTAGAAAAGCTGCAGTCATAGCGTATAACTAGAAAAAGCGATCGCAGTTTCACGACGAAAACCAAATTGAACTATTTTGCCATTCGGATCGATGATGACTGCATAAATATAACCCTGGCCGCCAACGCTTGGTCCATAGCTGGTCACATCACACACGCAAACGCACACGCAAACGCACACGCGCACTCAACTACGCACGCATACACGCGCACACGCACGCGCGCACGCACAGTGGCACACACACACTTACAGCAGCAACACGCGGCGTGATAGGATCTAGTAAAGATTGTAGCGCGCCTAGGCACGGCATAAATTTAAAACGCATGTTCGTTCACCGACACAGTAACTAAGCATCTGATCAGCACGTGCTGCCTGATAGCTTGCTTCGTCGCTGCGAAATCGATTTTTTGGATATAGGAATAAGGTGAGAATGAAAATGACGTCGACGTGTTAATATTGGCAGTACAGCCTGCACTGTCTGTGGAATTTTTAAGGAAGAAAAAGCCCGTTGATCCGCCCGCTTCTTACCACTATACCTACTCCTCGGTTACATATAAATGCGTTTACTTTCTTTAGCACATTGACCGACATCTTAACACATCGGGGATGCGCGATCGATGGATACGTGTCTCAGCCTCCTCCATACTGGTTACTTGTACTGCTGACCGTGGCACTGTACATACTGGTTACTACTACTTCAACAGTACATTGAGTAGACTAATTACTACTGACGAACAAGGATAGTCACAAATTTTTATCAACGAAAAACCCCAATGGTTGCAGGAACGGACACTACAGCAGCTTGGCTTCAGTTTTCTTTTGTTTACGTAGCTGCATGGCCCTTTTTTCCGCAGAGCAACGTCCTGGATTTCGCACAAGCGTGTTGGTCCGATAGTTGTGTGTTGGAGTGACAATTCTCAAAATAAGTTGGAAAATTACACGCCGAGTGTATTTACTTTACCCTTCAGCGAGCAGCGAGCAAAACATTCTGAAGATGCTTTTCTTATGCATTGCTGGCAAAACAAAACAAAGTTCTGGGTGAGCTGCTGCGACGGACGGGAGTCTGGTCTATTTTTATTAAGCCAGCTGCCTGACATCTCTCGCAGAGGTTCAGCAAGGGTTAGAAATCTCACAGAGCACGCCATGCCTCGAGCTCATTGGTAAAGTCCAATATTAATTTCAGCTTCCGCTCGGTAAGAACCACCGATGAAATTACGAATAACGCACGTCTGCAAATGCATAAACGCACTGCTTACCAAGGCGGTCCGTACTGGTTACCATAGTAACAAGTAGAATAAGAATCGTTTGGGTGACCCAGCTTGTCATAATATCAGGAGTTAATAAAGACAAATTGTCTTTATTAACTCCTGATAATATCAAGAGCGTATTAAGAAGCGCATTAACCTTCTTTATATACGCTCTTGATAATATAAATAGGCATGAAAACGCGAATTTGAAAGTGAAGTGAAGGTTATTTTGATTTATCAAAACCAATTATTAGCTTTAACATCCAGCAGATGCTTCTGTTTCTGCTCTTCCCTTTTTCTGGCCTAGGGTTCTTGATTGATAGCTTTAACACCGTTTGTAATATAATTTACTTCAGAAAACTCGGTCAGAAAATGTTTACATTCTCAACTCTTCTCCGAGCTCACACCGGCTTAAATACTCGCCCGGATTAGATCCTGTGAAACTCGTAAAAAGAGCAGAGCCAAGCAGACGACTCGGTGTCATAGATACGTATCAGGAGTTAATAAAGACAAAGACAATAAAGACAAAGACAAAGATAAAGACAATATTTATAGTAATATAGTCTTTATTGACTCCTGATACGTATCTACCTCCAAAATACTTTGACACGATAGGCCGTGAGCGCACGTACTGATGCTGAAATGCACTGACGTCACAGTTAAAGACAGCCGATCACTTTGTGTGCGCCATTCATCATTGCACCACTGTCTATACGTTACACTGCACATTATCATAGTGATCACATTATCTAAATGACTACATGAACATACAATAAATACATGGGGACTGTATACACGTACATAATATAACGAAAAAATTCACATTATACTATAATTAACGATTGCTGTTAAAAAAATAATTAACCATGTGAGTGCTGTAAAAAAGGGTATTAGAATAATATATGTGTTTCTGTGTATTTATTTGTTAAATTATGTGGAATACAACTCTGTTAAGGTAATATTGCAGTTATTGGTACGTACCCTTTCTAGCACATGCTATAAATTACATGCAGGCCTTGTCCATCCTAGTGTTTACACTGGTCCATATCATGAATGAACGATGTTACCGAAAATATTAATAAGAACCGAAAATCATGTCTAACTGTTCTCATGTCTTATATCTGTGTACAAAAATAAATGGAACAAACCAGATTTTTCTTACCTGATTCCTGAGCAAGTAGATATAGCAGCAGCCGATTTTGGTATACCTCGCACTTGGCCATGGTAGTAACAGTGCTCTTTTGTCTGCAATATAAAATCACAACAAATCACAAGAAGGGCATTGACCAGTAACTAAGCATGCATGACTCAAATCTAGTCAAAGCCAAGCTGTGAGGGCCGATCGATGCCAAATGCCCAGGTGAATCAGGTTAGTCACGCAATAGCAATCACAGGTTATTAAATGGAGGTGTAACGAGGCATAACGTCATAAATAAGCATATAATGTCATGTAAAGTGTGGTTTGCAAATGTTACAAATGGTAGTTGGGTGATTGGAAATGTCGCGACGGTGGTTGCATAATGGGTTAGTCGGCGGCAGCGCGTTTGATGTAGTATATGGATGATGGAGATGGAAATGCTACTTTGAACCGGGTAACGATCATCATCCTCGTTACAGTCACATATAGGCATAACGTCATAAATAGGCATAAATAATGTCATAAATAGACATAACGTCATAAATAGACATAATGTCATAAATAGGCATAATGTCATAAATAAGCATAATGTCATAATGTCATAGGCATAATACGATTCACGATACAGCTTCACGCGAGTATCAGTGTGACACGAAACGTCAAAAAACATTGCACTAGCTATAGCTTACAGTATAATCATCTCATGAATACATTCAAAATATGAAAATGTAAGTATGAGTAAATAAAGTAAACATAAGTAAAATGTAGTTAGTCTCAACTATTATCAGATGAGCTACTTATATAACACCAACTTGAAAATTAACAATGATTTTTGCTGTTATGGTATATAAGCTAGTAAATGACACAGCCGCATTCTTCAATGTCGCAACAATTGCTTTATAAATGACGTACGCCACATGCAGACACAAATACATTTAATTCTTACAAAAGTGTATCTGGCTCTGTGACGTAAGTAGCTATAGACTTGTACCCCGTCTCTACTCCTTTACGCAAGTTACAAGTGAGAAAATGTAGACAGTGTACCAGTTTTTATAAACGTTTCTCGCAGAAGTGGGAATCTCATGACATAAATAAGTAACAGACAACAAGGAATCAACAAGGAAATTAAAATCGTTGCAAATATTGGTGAAAGTAACGATGCACGAGTGTTATAAGACATGTTAAGTTCACTGTAAACACTTGCCCCTATACGAAGCCAATACCGGTAACTATCACAAATGTCGGGATAATATTCGAAACAATGCCTTTAACTCAAGCTAACCGTCCATTAAGTGACTTTATCGGGTTGTCAAAATCTCAGTGAGTTGCACCAGGCATAGCATTGTATGAAAATGTGCACGTTTACACACAATGCCATACATTCAGTGTCCAATTAACTACGCGCCATATAAATAATGATTATTATGTTTCCCAAAAGTCACGCACACATCACGTGTGCGCAGTTGCTATATATTCAGCTACATGATTGGTTATAGTTACGTAATTTAACCAATCGGACTACGCGTTCGGATTATCGGATTTCTCAGCCAAAATAGCAGCTGAAAAAACTAATAAACTAGCAAATATAGCTACTGGTCAACTTCGACTAACGGGCCATGCTTGTAGTCAATTCCAACTGCGTCACACCGGGCCAACGTGAACAGAAATGCAGTCGGTCTTTTTTTGCGAAAACCGACATGCGTATCCGTAGTTGAAAATGCTGGCTTCAAATACCGATCGTCAATTGTTTGAAGCAATTGCTTTTATCATCAAGGACTTATTTTGCAAATAAGTCTAGGTAATCCCAGCTTTGTTTTTTCGGAAAGAAAAATAACGTAGTTCTACTACACCGGTTCAATCAGCCAATCAATTCAATTAGTTGCAATCAGGACATGCTTACACAGAGCAGCAACCGGCTACATCGGCTACCGTGATGATGACGACAACGACGACGATAACGACGACGGCGGCGACGACGACGACGACGATGATGACGATCAAAACGAATGAGAAAGACTTTGACATTGAAATTATTGAATTGATTGAATTGTTGAATTGTTGATTAAATTGTTGAATTGGCATTATTTTGACGTTCTCAAGTCTGTAACAGCCATAGTGTGCAAAGAGTGTCTAACCAATTCCATGTCCTTTCTATGAAAGAGGGGATTATATGGTCTTTGGAAATCAAGAACACTGATCCTGTATTGGTCAATTATGTGAGAAATTCAATTACATATTATTAATTAATAATAAGTTAGTATGATATCCTATATTACTCACTACTATCCACTTTGTATAACATCTATATGCCGGGAAATTGCACTTGCTAATTGCCTACTTATAAATCGAATTATTCACATGAGATAAAATTGCAAATTAATAATTTATTTTTCGCATAGCTCATTGATTTTAAATTAGTTTACTCTTGAAGGATTTACCTAATTTTTGTAGATAACCTATTAGTAACGCATTCACCCTGCAATATTACATAAAGCTGTCAATATCTTTTGGCACCAAATTTCGCACATTGCAACATTTAAATTTGCTCTTGCAGAATTTTTAAAAGGAATGAATAGGGTTTCTATAATTAAAAAAACCGGCGTAAATAAATTAATGTAATACACATGCCGCCAACTGCCAAAAATTTCAGTGGGCCAGCCTGCCTGGTTAGACAACTTCCCACGCTTAGAGGAAACAGCTACATCTTTCATGTGCACGGAATTTACATGTTCTAGCAATCAGTGACATATGTGTCAGAGAATTCTTGGTCTTCTTCGTTTCGGTGTATACTCATTGCCAAACTTGTGCCAATCCATCAGATAATATCGTGCTTCTCAACATAGTTTTTATCGCAAGATACAGACGCGGTTTGCCTTTGCCATCTGCAAAATACTTTACGTGGTCAAGCCAAGACACGAGAGATTCACACAGTCCCTGATGTTGAGAGCCACGGGAGCCTTAATTCTCATAAACAAACTAGACATAACATTAGTCTAAACATTGACTTTTTCTTACAATTCGTTCACAGAAACATGGCAACGTTACGTGTAAAAAAATTCATACGCAGTGTATAGAGGTCCGGTCTACGAGAAAAAGTTAATTTGAAGTTAATGTTCAGATTAATGCCAGGTCTAATTGTGTTTCTAACAACGGGCCCCAGGTTTTTACACCTTGAGAAAATACACTGTCCTGGCTGGGGTTTGAACTCACAGCCTATACACACTGAACTGTATAGACAGACTAGCCACTGCAGCACTTGGTACAGGGTGTTAATCCTTATTTTATATTCTCTTTCCTGCATTACGATCGAATTAATTAAATAATCATGTATGTAAATATTTGCGTTTTACAGGGATGACTAGCATTCAAGTTTGTGCTTGTATTAAGAAAAACCGGAGGACCGCACACTTCTTTCGGCTGAAATTTTTTCTGTAGAAACGGATTTCAAATTATATAAACGAAGCCACTCAAAAATCGTGTTTCACGATTCAGAATTTCGTGTTACAAACGTGTTTCTTTCTGGAACGCATAAACTTGTAATTTCATACCACAGTCATGTGACTACGATCCCTTCAACAATGAAAGTGTCAATGACACTGTAGCTCACCTTGGGTGTGATAGAAGAGGGAGGGGGCCCGGGATATATAATGCAAGAGTATATATGGGAGAACTCCCATTATATAGCATATCTCCCATTATATACCACTCTTGATAATGATATATATGTATAAGTTTTGATGCGAAAATAAATTTTTCAGATCTGAAAGTCTGAAATCTTAACGAGAGTTGGCGCTACGCCTAAATAATGGCCATTTTGGTTTTCGAATATTGCGCAAATAAAAACAATAAAATATTCCAGTCAAATTACTGTAACGAAGAATCAAAAACACAATATTACACGTATATATAGGCAAGAGCGGATAATACCTTTATTACCTGTATTATTAGCTCTTGATATAGGTATGATTGTAGAGTTGTTGACCAGTTAGACGAAATAAACGTAATAGGACGTTGTCATCTCTCCCATAGGAGTAACAACTGTTTTGGGACTATAGCCTTACACATTCACATATCAAAATTTAACAAAATCGAATGAATTTAGATGGCCATTTTCATTTTTGCCAAAAAGTGGGCGTGGCTCGAAAGTAGGTCGACTGGCGTGCTCCAAAATAGGAAGTTACAATCTCTCCAATAGGAGTAACAACTGTATGCAATTTGAAACATGTGGGTCAAACGGTTCCTGAGTTATCGTTGACCGTAGCCAAATGTTGACGGACGGACGGACGGACGACACCCCATGGCAATAGCTCATCTTGACGATGTCAAGGCGACCTAAAAATTAGGACCATTATTTGTTTAGTTCCGATTATATGCGATTATAAGTAAATTTATTTATGCTTTATGGGAATTCATTCACTTTGGGAAAGTGGGTTGATACTCCCAGGGGTTAATAATAATAAGATAATGACAAATTTTATAAATAATAATATTTGTCATTAATAACCCCTGATACTACGTGCGGACTGTGGTACCAAATGGCAACGCGCAGTAGCAGGACCATTCAAACCGGATAGCTCTTCAACTCCCTCGCAACGCAACACTCATGCTAATGATTATGCACCAGACGGTAGCCAGACACAGATGCTTGTCTTCGATAAAAACACTTTTCTTACTTACACCAGGAACCGAGCATGCACGCGATTTTTTCGAGTTACTTTAACGATCACAGGTGCATGCATTATGGCAGTTATCGCGTACGTGTGTGCGTGTAAAAACACTTTAACCCCGAGAGTGCTGTGTAGACTGTAGTTTCAGTTGCCTCGTGCACAAAGGAGGCTGCATGGTCAATCTCGCAGAAATAATCATAGCTGGCTTCAAAGTCAGTATTAGTGTTAGCGTAAATGCATGTTTTTTCAAACTCCCAAACACGCCAATGTTTCGATTGCATTGCTGGTAGATTGCTCGTACTGTTTTCCAGTGAGAAATGCTGCAGTAGTCTAAAGCGACGCTATTTTCATATATAAAATATATATGAAAATGCAATTACTTTGTGTGTTTTTCACTATTTAGTTCAAACCGCATTATACTAATACTTTCCCGGTCCATTAGATGGAAACAAACACTGGTAACTGCGTACAATTTGCTATAGTGAGCAGTTTTAGTGCACACCAGAGGCAATTAAACTGCTTGGATATTTTTCACTACTCTGAAACATTTTTATCCGATAACAGTTTAAATGTCTACCTAGTATTGTTAGCACTATAGCGTTTTGTGCACAAAAAATAAATTTTTACAAATTCACTTCTTACAAAAATGTGACAGTCGTTTCAACAGCTCCGATTCATCCCACCGTATAAGAATAGCCTAAACGGAATATTGGCCAGTCGACCTATTTCCCCAGACAGCATTTATTATTAATAAAACCAACATTTCACCATTACCATCACATTTAATCAAGGTCTGCTCAGAGCTAATATTGATACGGAAACGCAATTTTTGTTATTTTGCCTTGTAACCTACTAGCAGATCGATTTGACCATCTGCTCTGCACTTAAGGTTGCTGCTAATTTTGCCTATCTGCTTTTTAATCAAGACAGTATCAAAAATAGATGAACGACATGTACTTTTGATAATGATCATGGGTATAATTTTTCCTATCCATTAGTTACTGTACAAACTACACATTCGACAATTAAAACTAGGTTCAGCAAGCTTTAGCCGCGTTTAGGTAAGAAAGTATGCATACGGTTGAACCAGGCACTCGTCATAATATATATGCCATCAGAAACCCTCAGCTGTATATATACCGTCAATCATCGGAGGTGGTTGACCGGCTGTTATGAGCTATGTTTTATCGTCATAGTCGGAGTCTAATCAGACTATAAGGCGAGTTGAGAATAAATCTATCGGCTCAACGATGGGGACTTTTGGAGCCTGCCTCGCTGACGGACCCTGAAGCGTGTATATATAGTGCATTCCAGCTGATGAATCTGAAAATTTGCTACAGCTGTCTAAGAAAAATGTATGTAAACATAAATAATGAATAATAATAACTATTATAATAATACCCATACACATACCTATACACATACACACACCTATACACATTATAATTTTCTCACCTTATATATTATATATATATATATATATATATATATATCGCACTAGGCAGGTTTACTAGAATTCACTTCGCTCCAAGATTTTCTCAAATGATCGATCACGTTCAGCCAGGAAACGAACGCGATTAGGTCTTGCAACAAAGAGTGCACGCGGTGTCGGCCAAATCTCACGTACGTCCTTAACCGCCCCTTAACTGTAAACCCGACCGTACGATCAATCTCGCACATTACATTGCTTTATCATTAGATTACCTGCTAGCTGCTATACACTTTTAAAGCATGCTACCGGGATTTTTACTCGCTGCTTTGCATTCGAGTGCAGACGATAAATTGTGAGTTATGTGCTAAATAAGGCTGTTAAGCCACCACTCGGGCCAAACCTCACCGATTTTGTTTCACACTGTTGTTAGTAGGATCAAGAGCACGCGAACCCAGAATAGATATCACTTGAAGGACACGTATATGTGAGAGAGTAGAGAAAATTCAGCTAAATCATCATATTTCCAGCTCGCTCATGCACGCTACTATAGACCGTCTAAAGCACATGTTCAATACGCTGTTCAACTCGAGTTTCGACTGAATAATAGCCCAATTCCCCATAGAAAACTAACATCAGTTTCCTCCATGCGAGTGTGGCCATGCAGCATTAGCACCAGGCGCCCTTACGAATCTCTACATTTTAGACGCGAATGCAGCCTATATGCAGTAGCACGCTGCACACTCTTCAGGGTGTGACAGAAAACAACACGTGGAACGAGCGAGAATGGGTAGGCGAGAAATAGTGAGACGGACAAAAAAAAGGGAAGAGAATGCAGGGATGGGAGAGGATGGGAGAGGACGAGACAGTAGGTAGGGACCGGGTGTTTTTTTCACTTTTATCTTCCTATTATAGATCACTCATATGTGTCATTCGACCATCCCTCTTCCAAATGCAACTTCGGCGAGCAATCCTCTCTTGCACACTGCTCAGGGTGTGTTGCAAGTCTAGCCACGGAGGAAGCCAGACACACTATGGCTGCAGCATTACGGTCGCGCTCTCCCAACACCACCAAATAATGGTGCAAGTAACTTGAGGGTGCAATTCAACTGATATGCATAAATTTGCATTCTCAGCAGCGGGTGCACGCGAACTTTCAGGTGTGAGACAGTCAGCACACATTACTATAATCAAGAACTAATAAATACCTTGTGTGATATTAAAATATTGTGGATGCGAGGTGGCGTGAGGCCTGTGGGAGGCATGATTATACGCTCCAATATCTCGGCCTAGGAGTATCGTAGAGACAAGCGGTTGGTCTTAATTATTTTAGAGAGCAAAGAATGCTGCTTAACGCAATACCATGAGCTCATTCTAGACTCGCAGGCAAAGTAGAATAATCATGTCGTGAAATAGCACTATTTTCCCGTTTTCCCGTTGTACACTCTAGGTATTTATTAGCTCTTGCTATAATCATGAGTGTATAATATAGAGAGGAGTATGACTCGCTCGAAACACAAGAAACGCAACATTTCCATGCCCTAGTACCTATGATTTATTACGTGAAACTCAATGAAAAATTACATCAGAAGTAGCGTTGTACAACCCACCCACTTGCCTTCACACTTTACTTTGTATCGATACTTCTTCTTATGTAGTATAGCTTCGAACAATGTTATACACTCCCAGTGCTCTAATATCACATGACGTTCTAGCATTGCATATCAGCTGGACTCACTACATTCATGTTATCATTAGTATCATAACACAGACTATATTATGTACATAATATATTCTCTACATTATGACACGCCTGGTTGTTATTACACGCTGTAGTCCTAACAAATAAGCCGTATCTGGGACCGGTTAAGCACAGGAAAATCAGAGAGAGCTTCCGCTGCGTAACTGATAGTTTTAATGCAGTTATACAGAACGAAGAGCAGATGAGCAAACAGTGCACTGCCCTCGGCGAGGTTTTATTATTGATTCGCATATACATCTACAGCCGTCTTACACAGATCCTCGCCATCGATAGTTTTGTAACGACTTACTTTTGCATCGCTGCGAAAAACTAAGACAGTTCGATTGGCAACTATCATAACTGCGTAAACTGATCATTCCAATGATAGTCACATCCGAGCATTGAGTATCAGACTTCTGCTGGCAGTCAGTGAACAGGATTTTTTCAGGGCATCATCCGTACATGTTTCCCCCGTGGGAACTCATGTACATTATTTTCCAGGCTTATTTTGGCACATAACATTTACATTTTTCTAGAGGGCGTTTACCTTGCCGTTACTGCTTTGTGTGTCTACTTCAGATGTGAAACCAAAAAAAATTACAGACGTTTTGTTATTTACTAGAAATACATAGGAAAGCAATGGGAGCTCGAGAATTAAGTGCATCCAGTGCAGCCATATACAAATGTATGAAAAGACATACCGTCTATATTATAAAAATAACCAGGTAATATAATATAAGCATAACTATAGAAGTGTTATAACAAATAATATTTAAAATATATAAATATTGATGTAGATTACTCACATGATTGATATCATTCCTTATCACAGGTTTGCCATATATGAAATGTTTCTCTATATAGTTGCTTGTAAAAAGATCTCTGTAAAAAAATACACAATAATGAATAAACACAACTTTAGTATATATTATAACCCGCATTACTGCCCTATATACTTACATCCACTGAAATACGAAATGATTTTTTTACAAACATATGGATAAACCAACTGCGGAGGTAGTAAATTAAAATAGCAGTAACAGTGAATCATTAGATCATCCATCTAATGCAAACGTAGACGGTTAATTTCAAAGGGAATCAATACAATATACACATGCACTTGAGTATGTGAAAACAGGTGAAGCAGGTCCCTTAATGATAGCACTAAACAGACACAGACCGCATACCCGCGAAATAACACCAGAGCATCTTGAACAACGTTACGAAAACTAAGGAATCATGATGAGAATACTCCGAAATTTAGCGTCCACGTAATATATGTCGCAACTCGGGTAAACATGAACTTCGTCACGTGCAATCAACAATAACAACAACCTTATGTTGCCTATTAA